TACTAAGAATAAAAAACAAACAGACCTTTCTTGAGGGATCCATTGAGTAGAGCAACAAGACAAATCACTCCCCTATATTGGTCATACCAGGAATCAAATAGAAGTGCTGACATAGGCTGATGAAGGTYACACTTTGGACTATAATAACAAAATAGTTACTAAAATGTAAGGACTGCTCATGAGAGTACAGTTTCATCTATAGGATTATACTTTTCCTCCTAAGAAAGCAGTTGTACAAAAAGGCAAACAAAAGATGTATAATACTATGATTTACTTACCATGGCAGCTTGTCAATGATATTTGTTAGTAACTCATCAACACCAATCCCCTCCTTTGCAGACAACTACATGACAAGATGTCAGCATATATGTATCAGTTTTTTGTACTGTTAACTTACTATAACTTATGATTATACCTTCAAAATGTCATCAGGGTCAATTYCAAAAAGTTTTTCCATTTGACTGGAAGCTTCTTGAGGATTTGCACTTTTCAAATCAATCTACAATGCAYGAAACTTATATTAATCTAATTAAACTGTACACTAAAATTAATGTACACACAATACCTTATTGAGAACTGGTATGACAGCAAGGTTAGTGGCAGTCGCAAGAAAAAAGTTAGATACAGTTTGAGCTTGAACACCCTGCCAAATGACAAACATTATTTTCTGAATAACACTAGTCATAATAATGCCAAAATGTCACGTTTTGTGCAAACCTGAGAAGCATCAACTAGAAGTATTACACCTTGACATGCCRCAAGAGATCTTGATACTTCATAGCTAAAGTCAACATGGCCCTACATGGATATCATGATCAGTTACACAAACAATCAACAAAAAACAAAGTAAGCAAAATTAATAATTATACCACTCCAAATTGCTTATGATAGAAATACATACAGTACTTAATGGTGTACAACAATAAACAGCWCTTCCCTATCACTTACTGGTGTATCAATAAGATTTAGAAGATACTTTTGTCCTTTGTATTCATAAAACAGTGATGCAGTCTGAAAACACGGGAAATAGAGAACAGTCGTTATCATAGAAACACTGATAAAGAGATGAAACATTAGTCTYTTCTTGCAGCTGCTATTTGTCCAAAAATTGGTTGTGAGGAGACYAKCAAAACATAGGGTATTTGTAGAAAAATGTGAGGGTCAAGTACCAGTATCTAATTGTTTGACAAACCTGTGCCTTTACTGTTATTCCTCTTTCTCTCTCTACTTGCAGCTTGTCTAAAACTTGCTTATTATCACTACTCTTTGTTATAGTACCTAAAATGRTTATTTCAAACACAATTTCTGTTTTATCTAAAAGCTACTGTACTTTTTGTATATGTAAGTAAAAAATGCATAMTTACATGAACAAGCAAATGCCCATAGAGTGCGTTTATAGTGGTTAAGCATTTGCTACRCTTGTTGGAAAGATAACCGGCCTATATAATCTCCATTGTATATTATATATATGTTCTATAACTATAATATTATAATTTTAGTAAATTGTTGTACCTGTTATTTCTAATATTCTGTCAGCAAGTGTGCTTTTACCATGGTCAACATGAGCAACAATGCTGAAATTTCTGATTCTTTCTGGCGGGAAACTCGACAAATCAAATTTATCCTACAACAAAATAGCATAATTCATATAGATTTGGAAAAATGTGTTCCTTAAGTTTTTGAAATTACAGCACATTGTGCCGTTTAAATCATCATTAACTTCGTATTTCTACTCTAGACATTTTCAAAACTTATCGATATCAGCCGGTTATGCAATTTGTACAGGACAAGATTTCACCATCCTCTATTTCTGGAATATATTTGAATGCCACCTACATTATCAGATAATAAAGTGGACGACGTGCTGAACCATTTCTTGAGGTCTTTCAGACTACAGAAAATATAAAAATATATCACGAGGAAGAAGAGGCCGGGTCACTGAACATGCAGTGCGCACGAAGATCTTGAGATAGAACAAAAGAAATTTTCCTACCTTCGAGTAAATATTCGTGTCTTACTATAAGACAAGAAAGAATACTGACACCGAACTATTGACCTGAAGCTCGTCATGGCAAATACTCCAAAAAGAACGATGATAATCGTCCGTTAAAATACGTGCAAAACARCTTCACTGCGTCCACCATTTTGTTTTTTGGAGTGAGACCGCTGGCAATCATTGTCGAGGTGTACTGGAACCTAAATACTTTGATTGGTTTAAAATWGACCAATCAGATTACAAGGAACTTCGTTGATTTATCAAACATTTTTTGGGATTTTTATGGTCATTATATTTTTCCATTTTTGTAAATAAATATATCTCTATATGAATGAAAAACCCTTGACAAACTTCMTTTTATCACAGATAACAAGGATGCATTTTTTATAATCTATGATTTAATGATCACGCAAAATGTTTCACAAATAATTTTAATAATGGTCAACTTTATTTTACATGTATTAAGTATGCAGAGAGAGCTAAAACAATCATAAAAGAACTAATAAAATTCTTGTTTATATGCTTGGATCATTGTTTTTAATAGTAAGATTAACATCCTTACAATTTTTACAGTTTTATTCAAAAATCTAGACTTTTACTAACATTATACATTAATAGATAAAGGACAATTCACACCAATGTGGCTTTGAGGAACCCTGTGTAGTTCTATGTAGAGGGAGACTAGGCCTCTGAGAGGACCTCTTTGTTCTCAAACTGTTGTTATATATGTCTACAGTGTCTTTTCACGCCAGTCTAATCAACTATTCCATTCCATTCTTATCATCTGCACCAGTCCCTTCCTCTTGGCACTGCACTATTTGGCCGTCACTTGACGTGAGAGTCTGGGGATAACAAAGCAAGATAATATAAATTGAATTTTAGAGTGCACACTTAAGTTGACACTAATTTGAAAGGAAATTATATCAAAAGGTTTCTGAATGAACATTCATCAGAGCATTTTACAGATCACACAGCACAAATCAATAAATTCAAGATTATTGCTGCACTGCTGGTTGCATTGAATAATACCTTGATAAGCTGTTCTTGCCTGGCTTCAGCTACAGCTTCTAGTTTATCAGCCTTTGCCTGTAGCAATGCCTGTGCTATGGCCTGTTCCCTTTCAACTTGAGCATCATTGATGGCTTTAGATAACTGTAATAGAGAGTTCATTCTTGTCTGGGCTAAAACCTACAATACAACATAACAATAATCAGTAAGGGTAATGTTGTGGCAGTAAAAATGATTGTGATATAGTGAAAACAATACTCCAGTTTCAAGATCCTAATTGTGCATCCTTAACCTCGAAAGCATGTAATATATTCTTTTATTCGGCCGAGATCCTATTGTAATGCAAACACTCTGCATACAAAGAAGACAATAAAAATTTATGCTTGATTCAAGCTAATATTGCACAAAAGAGAATTCGAAACTAGAGTATATTAAGCACCCACACTCTGGACTTTTCAGAGTGGCAGTATTTGTAGTACTGTAATAATTAAGGCAATAATGATGATAGCATGCATGTAGTTGACTAATATCAATTTTCATTTTATGTCCCAAAGAAATTAGTAAATAATTTTGGAAGATATTTATCTCAACAACATACAAATAAAGTACCTCCTTTTTTTCTGATTCTGCCTGAAGTTTAGCTTGAGCTACAGCTGCTTCACGTGCTGCTTCTGACTGGAGTTTGACTTGTTCAAGCATACATTTTAACTGGGTTGCAGTACTTAAAAGTGAATTCACCATCTAAAAACACATAAGGGGACAACCCTATATTACAGACCATTATTATACACTTCAATAAATTCCCTTTCTGAAGAAAATACTGAAAATAACTCCATTTATAGTGAGCTTTTTTCAATGTACAGAAGATATCTGTTTTAAGAATAGTTGACTTTATGTAAATGTTAAAAGCASACGTACCTCTTCTATGTGCCACCAATGTCGTTTGTGATCAAGTCCTGCATCTTGTGATATTTGTACGCTRACTGTTCCTGGCTGTGAGTTATKTGCAGCACCAAACTGCAAGCCTGAGCTCACCATTATYGGAGTCATAGGTGTCATGGGTGTTTGTGGAGTCATRGGCGTAATTGGTGTCATAGGTGTTTGTTGCATGGAATTACCAGCRCTGACTGTAACCATTGATGTTGCAATGTCTGTAATWAGCAGGAAACTTATTGGTGGTACAAGGMATATTTATAAGAAAACTGGATTTCTAAATGATTTTRGTTTATTTTAAGTCCATCATCAAATGGTGAAGACTACCAGTTTTGTAATGAATCAAAACCCTGCTTACACTGTATGTCAACCCCTTGCTAATTGAAGCCTCCTTTATATTTATCTAATATGTTTGCATACATGCACAAGAATGCAAAACYATACAAGAAAGAGATTTAACTTACCTCTGATTATTGGTAGATGAGAAACATGTGTTGCACTTGTTGCATTAACATTCCCTTGAAGATCTAAGAAACAGTAGTTCTCCATTAATGAAACAAGCCTACATGGCACCAYATGATTTTAGACACTAATTCTATGAATTACTTTGTACAGAAGGTAAACTTCAGATAACCATGATTAYAGAAAAGATCTTTGCTACTTACCACCACTTTCTATGACTGTACCAGCTTCTGTGACATACGTACCACCACCAGAATCCACACTAGAAAATCATATAACTTAGATGATGATTTCAACWTTGCATAGGAATAATACATGATTTGACTCTATTTTAAATGARCTTAAATTCATCTAGTGATGATGCTGGTTGTTGCATTATCTAACCCTACATGAAGTGATGTATTATTCAATGTAACCTTAGTTAGTGTTTAGCTTAATGACMACTGAAATCTTTCAATAAGACTAATTTAAATACTAAGACATCCTTTGYAAAACAAAATAAACAAATGTTCTCATGCAATTGAACCTTTGACTGATTATACTTCTACGTGTATGTAGGTTTGTATAAAATCAAAGCAACAACACCATACCTTACTGACCTCATCATGATATTCTGTCCTGTGATCAAAGAAAATGGATATCACATGTTTATTATATAATATCACTCATGCTCAAAATCTTAAATCTTAAAGAAAAGCTTGACACTGTTTGGCGACAAAAATTACATCACTCTGCAGTTATACTAATTTTGTCACTGGAAACTCTATCTGAATACATAACTTAGATCACACATGACTAATACTAATGGAATACTCTTGGGACAAAGGAAAACAGATTACTGGAAAAAATAAAGGTAATACTTGATTCTAGTTGGTGATGCTTACTTTCTTGTTTTGTGGGATCAGAACTTAACGACATACTCTTCTTCAACACAGGAGATGCAAGACTGGATTGTGAAGAAACCCTCTTTCTGCGTTTATATGGGACAAACAACCTGACTGGACCAGCCTGAAACAATATTGATATCAATACATGCACTCTCAATCCTGTTATGGAATTGATTTGACCTTTGTGCATGCACAAGCAAACATTCAAAACATCAGTATATTTTATAAACATAAGAATAATTAAAGAAATCTCACCAGAGTATCATCATTACAGCAAGATGCACAAGTACAAGACGTTGCATGTGGGGTTAAAACTCCTTCCTCAATCAATGTTTGAAGTGTGCGTCCACCATAACGAATACTGCGTTTCCAGTCTTTTGATGAAGCTCTTCCACAACGTGCTTCAAACTCTGATGGCGTCATCCATTCATCATTGTACTATAAATAAACGATGGAAGTTTATGTACACGATGAGGGAAAGTCACTTTAGAATTTTTTGTGGGTTTCCTGTGTCTACAGGTGACGTCACTAGAATTATTCGACTTCCTTTTTGGACTAATTTATATTTCCTTTTCATTTCAATTATATTTAAAGATCTCGAGTATTTATGAAGTAGATTATAATATATTTGAATTTAATGATTTCTTATAAAAGCATAGAGCAAAACGTTTTGAATCAAGAAAAATTGGCGGGCAAAATGCACATCGAACTGATTCCAAACGTCCCGAGCGCATCCAAGAAAAGCGCTTTATGAACATATCCTTAAATAAATACAAACTTATAAGGCAGTGGAGAAAGGGAATTAAATGTGTAAACAGAAAGTTTAGCTAGAAAACGAATATCGAACGTTCTATTTGGTAATCGAGCGCTCAGTTGACGAGAATGATCCAGGTTTAGTTTTAATGGCGGACAACTTATAACAAAGAGAAGAAAAACCTACCTTAATGCACTTTCCACGACCGCCAGAGCCCAGCTTACTCTTGTGTAGTTCTGCACTTTCATTTCTGCATCTAACAGTCAAAACTTCAGCGTTCATTACGGCGTCCCAAGATGATTTAACATCGTTGTTTCCTCGTGAAACGGAATCCATGTGCAAAGGACTACCTTGCATTTGGTCATCTTGTATGTCGTGTATAACCTGCTCTGCTTGTAGATTTCCTGCTTCAGAATTAGATCCCTCGTCAGGACTTTGAGCAATCGCTACTTCTTGTATTGGCGCTAGTTGTGCATCGGAAACTTGAATCGTGGTTGGCTGGCCTTCATTTTGCTCTCCAACACGAGCGAGGTTTGCTAAAGCAGGGGTTGCGAACGTGATATTAACTCCACCAACATTTGCGACTTTAACAACCTGAACTTCACAATGTTGATGTTCAACTGTTTCTTCACTTGAGACCTGACCGTTGTTGGGGAAGACAGAAGGATGAGATGATTCGTGTTCAGTCGGGATCTCCTCGGCGATTGCGATCTGATGGCTCACTTCAGACAACGAAGAGACCACCGACAAGCCTTCGGCTTCGCTCGTTCTCGGAACGGCCGCGTTCACTTCCATTTTTAATGCTTCAGTACTCCACAAAAACTGCAGTTCAACTCAATCAAAGCTCAGAGTAGCAAGTTGATTTACTCAGCTACCTAACTGAGATTGCAGTGGGCGTAAGATTACCTTAGATGATTTCTAAAGGACAACAACACTGTTCAAGTGCAAGTCACCTTTGTGATCGAGAACCTCCCGACGCTACACGAATCGACACTGAATACTTTAAGGGGGCTCAATACGTCATGTTACTATGGTAACCAATTTTATAAGCGTGATACTTTCTTAAAGATTAAATTTAAAAATATCATCTGGATTTCATTCTTTTTTTTTATTAAATTGGTTCATTATACACTTGTTTAGTAAACAAAATTTAAGAAAAAAAAAATAGTGTTAGCTATGGTTAGATAATTTTTAAGAAAATATTTGTTTTATCTTTATTTTCTTTATTTTGAAACATGGATTCAATAAAAGTAGATTACTAGTCAGCAGTAAGCAACATTTGTGCAGCACCAACATATCAATATTTAGCTAGTGTTTTAAAGTGCATTAATAACTTTTACAAATACCTCCTTTAGAAACACTGCCGTGAATAATTCAAGAAATACTAACATTCCAATAACAAATTCATTTATTAATATTAAAAGTCAATTAAATACAATATCACAAGTTTTTTGTACAAACAACTTAATTATCATCTGGTTGTATATGCCTTTATTGTTATACCAGTTCCATCAAAGACTTGATCCAGAATTTCTTTGATGACGTCCCAATTCATACCATCATCCCCTGTACCAAGTCTTGGGACAGCTAGTTCTGTAATACCATTGTCAATGCAGTGTTCCTTCATTGCTGTAATTGAACTGTGATATGTTTCTTTGCTTGCTTGATCCCACCATCTTTCTCGCACCAGCTGAATCAAACATGATGTTATAAGCATTTCAAACCGCAATGTATATCCATTCAGTCTTTTTTTTAATATATTTTAATAAATATTTTACAAACACCATAAATTACAGACATATTACACTTAGTGACATTATACATTTACATTTAGTCTTTTCAGTTAGTGATTTACTTGTATGTATAATAGATTTCTTTCACACTAGCCCTAATGTTATGTAACTGTATTATGGGTTTTTTTAAATATTGTCTGCATCTTTCTTTTAAGGCAAAAGCTAGTAAATAAATATAAGTTATTCATACATCCACTTATCCTTACACTTATTTAGTCATTTATTCAGCTACTCATTCATCCATCCATTTATCAATTCACAAATCTTTTTACTCATTCAGTTATTCATTCATTCATTCATTCACAAAAAAAAAGATTTTGGATTCATGATATTTTTGTTAGCATTTTTAAGCATACCAGATGATAAACAAAGCTATTGTGATCATTCCTTTTAAGAACTGCTACTTCTCCAACACTCTTCTCTGCAAAATAGAATAACACAATAATGTTTCACAAAAAAGTCAATGTGAAATAAATACAACATAAGACTTTATCATTTCCATGATTAAGCTGCTTTCAGTTGCCATGGAAGCAGCAAATAATAATCACAACCATCCTTCATATCAATGAGGCCAGATGAAATCTTTCTCTTTGCTTATTTTTCTCGTTATCTAAGACCTCACAAATGGCAAAAACAGCACTTCAACAGTACTTCAATGTCCTCAGAAGTACCACAAAGTATTAGAAATAAACTATGAGCAATATCTAATCCAGCCTCTGCCACGTCCCCTGATATGGTGATATCAAATTCAGAATAGTTAACAATTCTCAATGGTCAATATAGAATAAGTGAACTATATGAGACCATGAGACTTACCACAATGTAGCTATATCTACCTCATGAATAAAATTATTATCATAGTAAGTTTGTAGAAGGACAACAATATTATGAACATACTTTGTTCCTTGAGTTCATCAACTTTCCCAAAGGTTTTTTTAAAGTCTCTGGCTATTCCTCTGTGCATTTCAAAGTCTGCACTCACAGAGCAGACAAGAGATGTGTCCACTGGAGATGCAAATATCAGCCATGGTTTACCTTTTAACTCAGCAATCTCTCCATTAGTCTGCAATATAAACAATAAAACTCAAAATGGATATTTGTCAAGCAATATACAGAAGACATCAACTGGTATTTAAAGCTTCTTGTAGAAATAATATAAAAACACAAAAACAAACAAAATTATTTGAAAGCTGATTAGTAAGATAGGATTGGAGCATATAATCTTCTGATCCTAAGCTTTCACAGTATAGCAAAAAACCACCATGGCCACCCAACAAAGTTATGAGAAAGTAAGTCTGAGTAATAGAAGTATTGGTTATGACTTTCAAACTTGTAGACAGCAATCAATGAAATTGGCTAACTTCCTCAGATATGTGGGTGGCCACAGTAGTGTGTGTTGCCACCATTACCTTGTGTTTTGTGTCAGTGTTTGTTGAGGAACTCTTTGTAACATCATGTGATATGCATCGATTAACTAAACCTTAAATGACAAGATATATCAAAAATATTCTAGTTTAGGACAAATTTTGCCTCTCATGAAGGAATCAAGTAAGTTATACTGTAACCAGAAAAGCAGCTGATCAAGCCATAGTTGTACAAATAACTACATATTTGCAAATAAACGACAACAAAAAAGCTACCATTAACTGCTAATAAACTCCTTCTTGCAATAATTCGCCCAAACAACGCCATCAGAAGAAATCTAACATAAAAATGATCGGAAATCTTACAGCAGACATCAGCATGCAAGAAAGACTTGACCTGCTTTTATTACAAGGCATTCCAAACTTGGACGACAAGTACTGGTACGAGCTTGAGTTAGAAACAGGAAGCCCGGTTTTTGTGAGAAGTAAAATACTAGATAATAATAAATTTGAAATTTTAAACATAAACAAAAACAATACAAAAAAAGGCAGTCGATGACTGCATGTGACTCAGGCATTAATGTTATAATGACTCTTATTCGCCTGATTATAGTTTTGAAATAAAACCCAAAGATTGCTAAGTTTTTCATCCTCTTCAATTGTTAACATTCACTATATTTAGATTAATCATTTGATAATCAATATTAATCCATTTTTCAACTATTACTATATTATATCATCAAGAACGAAAATGTGGAAAGTTCGAGCATAATGTTGGAGTTTCAAAGGTCTTCAATTGTGTGTCATTGGCATTGCGAATCCCGGCAAATCTTTGGCAACACAGCGAAGCTAGTATCTTAAGAATTTCAAGAGATTTTTCAGATTTTTGTTGTGCTGTTTACTTGAATACTAGTAATGTCTGTCTGATATGAGAACTGTAACGAAAATTTAACAGCTCGGTAAAAGCCGCCACATTAGAGCGAGTACGTCGGAATTCGGGCGCAAACAAGCACACARCACCCATCCCCTCCCCCCACAAATAATAAATCCACTGAAGAATGATTATGTATAYCTTGTATCTATTGCTAATTCTTGAGCTGAGCTCTGATTGGCTCGCTGCTCCCTAAGGATTTCGGTGACGTCATATATTAGCATAGAACTTCACCGAATAGACTACCCCCATTAGCTATCAGATATCTTAAGTGTCTTCATAGTACGATGGTCTAAGAGGKTAGCTAAAGGTATGCTCTAGTGGGCGGCTACCCCCTCACTCCCTGGCCTTTTGGTTAAGACTAAGTTTTATGTTCACTGGGGATAGCGTGGAAGAGCCGAAATCTCTAACCGTAACGTAAGCCGATTCGACGCCTCAGCTTCATAGAATGTCTCGGGGGAATCGTCCCATCTTTTTAGTTTTTTATTTTCATTATTTCTTATGTATGCCCGGGGAATCGTCCCATCTTTTTAGTTTTTTATTTTCATTATTTCTTATGTATTCCGGGGGGTGCATCTTTTGCTATATTGAAAGTCCTGAGTTCGAACCCTGCTGCTAGAATTTCTCTTTTTTTTCTTTTCTTTTTTTTTTTTTGTTTATTCTTTCTTTTTCTTTTGTTTCCTGTTTTCTTTTCTTCTTTTTAATTTTTTTTTCTTTTCCTTTTCTTCTTTTTTCTTTGCTGTTGTTTTTTTTTCCTCTATAGATTTTCTCTTTATCAAGAACTCGCAAGGAACGCCTGCTACAAGTGGATGTTTACGGTTCGATCACTCAACCGATGACATAGTGACGAGAGGCCCCATAAGGCCTTTTGTCACAAAAATAAATAAATAAAAACCAAAAAATGATAAAAAGACAGTAAATTTGTAAATAATCATGTGCGACATAAAATAGAATAATTCTCAAATAATAATTTATAAATGAAAAAAAATCACAATTGACGTCAAAAAAGATATAAAATAAATTATCAAGATAAAATCGGAGTATTGGAGGCCTGATCAGTGATCATCGCACTGTTTTCCAGTGCCTCTGTCGCATGGACTACAGGAACAACTTTCGATAGTTCACTAGTTAGTGCAGTGGGTTCATCACAAATGGTCTAKGGGCCGATTAGCTTCTCCCTCACTGTCCCCTTTTTAATTAGTGCGAACTTTAAGACCAGTTTTCGGGATAGCATGGCAGAGATKAAACATCTCGAGGAAATCGTCCCATGCAACCATCCTTCTGATGTGTCATAKGCTCGAGTAGGAAGGCATTAACTCCTTTTTTGTCTTTTATTATTTCAGCACGTTATTCATCCACCCATTCAGTCCGGTTGCATTTTTTTCTTTGCTTCCCAACAGGACTAGTAGATTACTGCTTCTTTCCGMGGTTTTTTAGTAAGTATGATTTTCATTTTCTCGTTCTGACTATATTCTCGCTCCAATTTCCTTTTTAAGATTTGCTTGTGTTACAAATTGCTTTTTATAYGTATCGTGCATTTAGCGTGAGTCCTTTGCGTGTACGGTCAAAACCACGTGGTAGCGCATCACACGAAAGATTATTGTCCTGCTTTTGCCTTGGCCGTCAAATAAGGTCAAAAAGTTCAATAACAGAGAGACAAACAGGTGGCTTGAGAACGACAAACAACTYCTTTGACTAACTTAACATATTTGATCTTAGATTCAATGTAGGGTTGATTAAGATAAAGTCCAATTTTCAGGCATAAAATATCYCTCGTTTTGATCTTTGAGAAAATTATAGCTTCACCTTGTACGGTAAGTTTTGTTTAAATGKTTTCGCATGATACAGTGATGTGTTCTTGTAGCGAAAAAAACGTGAAACGTTTCCTTACGTGCTGCATAGAGTAATACAGTAAGTTTATTTGTCTTTTTCACGTCAATCTAGAGAGCCATGCTGTAAATAAGAGTCTCTAAGCTTATGTACAATTAACTACWAGTTAAGCACAAAGTGATAGCGATCAACCGAAACTCGTCACCAGGCAAAGGAATGTTGAATCTCTACAGGTGGCTGTATTTGACTTGTTTATCACAAAATTCATCGAAAATATCTACCCTTAACTCACTWTTAACATGAAATCAGCCAATTCTGATACCAACAATCCGACAACGAACATTAGAAAATGCTGTATATAGTCTGTAAGAGCTCCAAAGGTTTGACGGTCAGGTAGTCCGGTCATTACATTAAGTCCACTCGAAAACATCGGAAACATGTATGCGAACCGTTTCAAAATAAAACTGGTTAGTAACTACCACATGGTCGTTTTTAATACGATTATTAGAGTCTGTCGTGAGAATCTTTTTTTCTCCCCCATGCAGTACTGAGAAGCAAGCCACGCCCTACMCGTCTTTTGTCAACTAGTTTTTCTAGAACAAGAATTTGTTTTGTAATACGTGARATGCAGGTTTTCACCGATTATCATTGTAAACAATCGGGCAGAAAGATTACTTATGCATTTAAAGTTGTTTCTACTTTGAAACCTGGTAGTCACGCGATGTCTTGACAGCATTTTTGCCTTGTGAATTAGTAGCTTTCATTTCTGCGTTTGTCTTAGTGGGGTTATACACGAGGAAAARCATAGAATAATTTTAATAGCAAGCGAATTATACACTGATTATAGTTGCTGCGTGATGCAGTATTCTTTAATATCGGTATTTTACAAATATTTACAAAAGAAATTTAGCAAACAAGAAGACGAATCGCTAATCAACCGCATTAACTGAATCGAGAGAGAGACAAAGAGAAACTTTCATGTGAAATTATGAACGAAGTGATTTGAGCTTGATATACTTTTGTAATAATCCATTCGTTTAATGCAACAATAATAATCTTTTTCCAAACATAGAGTGTTAGATTCTGTAAACATGAAAAAATATTATCACGTAACAAAGAGACCGAACATCGAATATCAATATCATCGCGCAAACACTGCTTAGCAAAACGAGATAAAGAATAGGCACGCAATCGACAACTATAAAAGAATTTGCGCACATTGCAATACATTGCATGGCTTCGTGCTTCGTTTTGAGTGCCTTTCTTTCAAAGTAAAACTTTTTCGATTTTTATAAGGTCTTATCATGATTTTATATAGCATAATATATAATTCAAATTGATTGCTGTCAAGACTATTTGAATACTACATTACACGTGCCTTGGAATGTCTCTGGCGGGAAAATGGCACGCACGCGCTCATTGAAGGCCAACGCCTGAAGGCATGTTTTGGCGGGAAAACTGCATTGCACGCGCGCGCCAAGTTATAATTGAACCTGTTTATGACCGCTAACGAACATGGCACACGTCTACTTGACTTGATATTGACTTTGAAATGTTTGAGTGAATTTAACCTCTGTTTCAAGGTGAATACAGTCACCTGCTAAAATGAGCGTTAACCGGTGGCAGGGTTATTTCAATGAGGCAAAAAGACTTTGAGAACAATAAATGTGTTTTGTGATGAATGGCTGGTCAAAGACTAATCGACTGTTTATCAGACTTTGCTTTAGCAACGAAAGAACTTTTCAAAAAAACAAACGGATGTTTTGACAATAACATTACTAGTAAAGAACATTAGCAGTGTGTTTTTAAAGTTTAAAATGATAAAAAAATCTAAGGATATGGTTTGTTCGTTAAAAAAAAGCACTAAAAAGAACTGCTTTTCTTGTTCTCAGTACATATCTAAGTTATACAAAGAACTGAGTGAACTGCGATACCAATATTCATTTGTCATCGACTTTCTTAAGCTAAAATGTAGTACAGTCGATTTACTGAGTCCGAAAGACGCCTCATTATTCTCTCAGCTTTCTGCAATTGACACTAGATTCACGTCGAGTACTTTCCTTAATCTTTTTCTTCTTAAATGTACATATTCCACTCGAATACCGCAAAGAAATGTTCTGTGCAGACCAAAATAAATTAAGGATTGTTTTATTGGATAAACTTAGAATATAGTTTGCTTATCTGYGATCCCTTGACTGACCAATTAACTGATGAGCTTGACATACTGGTGAAGTAATGAAATTTCTCACGAGCATATCCAACTATTGCTTGCTTTAATACTGTAATCCRCCGTGCAGTGAACTATAAAGACACAACACAATAGATATCATACTGGTATGATTACATAATGTACTGGAACAAATCAGTCTGATTACGAAATTATTGATAAATAGTAGAARACTTCGATGACAACAATTTCATGTRYATAGAAATAGAAGAGGAAAACATATTTGTTTTCTATATCACATGTTCTTATAATAAGGCATTTTAAAATGTTTCGTACTGTACATATTCTAGCTCACTGTTACTTGGCATAAAAAATGTTTGAGCATGCGTATAACTCGTGCAAGAGTMCAAATTGACCAACATGMGTCAAAGTCACTTACTCAGTTACCAAMAKTTTAAGGTTATTTGGTAAATGTTAAGATATTTA